ATAAATTGTAAATAATTTTATCTTTTTATGCAGCTGATTAAGGTATATTTTAACATGTAAATAGTGTCCCTAATCAGGTTTTTTAAGTTAAATATCATTGGCACTTAAATAAAGTCTTTCGTTCATTCATTCATCCAATCAATACGTATACGATTTGCCACTATTGTTTATATTTGCGGGTACTAACTCTTACTGCTGTACGGTCAGTTTGAAAAAGTGTCGACGGAACAATTAACACTTAACATTTTATTTCTCCAGCTATTCAGTATCAGCTCATCAGCTAGTAATTAACGGCTGCCTCTCTCGGAAGGATACAGATAAGACCCCTGCCAAGATTATGGATCTTGGGTAAAAGATTGTTCCCCAGCAACATCAACATCAACATCATCATCAACATCATCAACAACAACAACAACAACTACAACAACAACAACAACCAAAACAGTAGCCGAGGGAGTTAAACTCGTTTGAATTGTAGCATCCGTAGTCTCTCGCTGTTCTTGCACGTGATCTGAATAAGACTCGAGGGGCATTCGATGTTCTTTGCACATTTTGCATTTCGGTGACGATTACGCCTACTTTGATGTGTACTAGTTTTTGTTAGAGGAACTGTTAGATGGATGAGGCTGGGTTGATTGTATTGTATACTCTGAGTCAATAAACACCCCGGGGGGAGGGGACTGGTACCTCTCAGGGTGTTCAGCCTCAAAGAGTCCACAGCGGGAGCATTTGCGGAACCCTTCATGGTATTGAGCCGACAAAAATGTGACAGGAGATATAATGTTTTGTTATAGAATTGGTACCTCTTGGGGTGAAAAAATTCAAGCCACGCTCACAAAACAGGATCTTGGTTCCTCTTAGGGGTTCTTTACAAAATTTCCGACGAGCACCCCCTTCCTTTCTATATGGGAGTCCCCCCGGAAACACCTCAGAGGTGTGTCGTGACTCAAAATATACAATCCGGCAAGAGCGGCGAGGGAATTAGCTGTTCACAGCCTTTATTTAAACACGTTTGTATGTCAAAGCTTTCAGTTTATGGGGTCTGTACTAACAAATAAAAACAAAAAGATTACTGATGCTGATACCACTTGCTGAGCACTTGATTACTCTGGAAATTAAGAAAAACCTAATTCAATGATTGCAACCAGTCCAAGGATTATATCATATTCTCCGCTTCAATATTAGCCAACCTTACCTGCATTTTCAGTATTTTGTAATCGGCTGGATTCATATGGGGGTAAACATACTGATTGCCATGCAGTAATATAAAAAAGTGTTTTTTAGTTTTTTTACTTTAATTCTAGAATTTACACTGATTGTCTTGCGCCGAATCTCGACTCGCCAGACACGACTTCTAAATTAATAAAAGAACAGGCCATCTGTACACTGGCAGATAAAAGTTTGGCCATTTTTCAATTGCCTGTTCAGTAAGATCCAGACTGTCTTGTAACCCTTTACACGAAAATACAACAGATGTCACCAGTTATTACTTAAGATCAATTGTGAGTGACAGAATTAAAAGGGGTATCCAGCCATTCGTCTTTTCGCTATGAGGTGGAAAACCCTATATGAAAAGCGAGCCTACGAGCCGGATCACCTTTGAGTCACAAGCGCGAGGCAAAGGACAAGTCCGCGAGCGAAGCGATCAAGAGGGGAAGGGGTCTGGTGAAAAGGCGCCAAGAAAGTGACAATTAATTTTCTCGCAGCTTTACCGCTCTCACGTGCGCTGCCCAAATATAGCCGGTTAATGAAACGCCAAAAATATCTACTCGACTACTCGTGTGGTGTTTTGTAAATATTGGACAAATACTGGTAATATCTAAGACAAAAGGAAAAAAATATCTCATAATTACATGACTTCACTTAATTTCTCTATGGAATTGGTTTCTCAAATATTATCAGTCCGCGACACGACAGGGAAACATGATTACTTGAATTACTTTCTAACCTTCTTTTGATCTCTAATTACCATTTTCTGTCATTGCATGGATACCATTTATATTTAAAAACGAGATCCAGTCTGTGAGGATAGAACAATTCAATATAAGCGCTACCCTTCCTAAAATACACCTTTCATAAAAACTTACTTTGGACTATCATGGTACTGGTCGTGACAATTTTTTATTGCCCAGCAGTATCCTAAACCAGTCAAGAAATCAATTTAACAACACTTAACAGTTTCAGTTTTATCTCCTTCAAAACTGCATGCTCTATTTCTAGATCATAGTCAGAAGTAGAGGTAAATGGTTATGAAACCTGGCAAACTTTTTTGTTGTATGTTTTTGTTGGCTATTTGGGGGTTGACCCTGCACAAAATCTGGAAAAATACAAAAGGTGGTTATTTGTGCTCATACAACTAACCAATAGAAGCACTGCAATTACTTAATTCATGCATAGTCAATCTCCGAGAATAAAACAAAAGACGTGCAGGGTCAAGGGCCTTCCAACATAAATCTTAGCCTGTTTGTTTGCTGCTTTGATGTTTACCGGGCTTCTTCATTTCCCTTCATTAACAATGAGCAAGCGTCTCCGGCGTTTAGTTCAAAACTAACCAAGGGCTCCTTAGAGCTACTTCATGTTATTATGTAACTACTTTTAGCGACCCCGTTCGCCTCCTCCGGTTGACCCTTATAATGTGTTTTTGTTGACTTCCGTCTCTGTCCTAACTCTCCCCCTCCCCCAATATTATTTGCACAGAAACTTTATTAGTGACAAAACCAAACCTAGGACGGGAGGTAATGGGGAACGCGTATAATCCAGGTTTAATTGCAATGAATGGAGTGAGAGTGGAGTGAGTGAGTGTATTTGAGGTCCATTCCTAAACCTAATAACATGACGTAAGTCATACCATGAGGTTCAAAACCTGGTGAATTTAGCGTTTCTCCGGAGCTCGGCGTCGAATCAAGAAAATACAGCATTCACTTCAGTATTTGCATGTGAACATAAGCAATAAAAACAAGTTTCTTAAACATTAATACTTGTTTTGATCCGTCAAACGCACGTATGAGGTTACTGTCTAAGTTTAATTGTTATCTGTGCAAGAAGCTATTCGTACAATAGGCCGCTTGACACATCTTGGAAAAATTAAAAGTTTCTAATCCACCTACATCTTCTCTAATCTAAACCACCTTTATTTCTTTTATTTCTAAAATAGTTCGAGACTGATAACTTTTGTTTTGAAGAAAATTTTGTACACTGCGTCACTTAATGATTCTTGGGTAAGGCACCATTATAAATATATGGTTATATGCATCTATTTTATACTCTAAACACTGATCTTTCCTCGAATGCTCATATATATATAGACAGGGGATAATTCTGTTACACGGCAAGGAAACTTATAAGTGTCACCAGGGCCCAGCCTTCCAGAGCTTTGCATTAGCAACACTGCTGATGCCTATGAAATGTGTACTGAAACATATCGAATGAACATGCCGTCAGAGAGGTACAGCGCCAAACTGCTTCGTTAGCTTTGTGCTGCGTCATTGTTCAAGCAAAGCAGGCTTCATTAATATCTTTACTCAGTTTCTTTGGAGCAAAATTCCTCATGGAGAACTGATTAATATTCATTACGGCAACACTGAATCGGCGTTTCCCGTTTCCTTGGTGAGCTTCGACAAACATAGATTTCTTTGGTCGTGTCACTGTGCTGAATCGGCGCTTTCCGTGTCCATTGTTACGTTCAACCATAGTAGATCTGCTAGATCTGGTCAGCCAGGTAGCCGACGAACTTCGGCGTCGACTGTAAGTCCTGCTAAACCCCACATTGTCTATAGGGATTGTGGAACAGGTCCATGCCGCCTTAAACCCTTCCCGATATTTTTTGTGAAACAATGCGTACAGATAGGGGTTTATGGCCGAGTTGGCGTGTCCTAGGAAAAGCGATGTGAAATAAAAACTCATCGAGGAGTCAAAACACGGTATTTTGTGAAGGGCGAAGAAATAGATAAACTGGTAGACGTAAATAGGAAGCCAACACGCGCAAAACAGAGTAATTACTGTAATTAACATTTTGACTACTTTTTTCCTCAAGGCACGGCTTCTGAGCTCGTCTTGACTTGAGCGGAACCCTGGTATTTGCCTTCGCCACAATTTGGAAACGATGATTGAGTACATTACGACCATCGTTAACAAAGGAAAGACGTACAGTGTTATAAAGAGAACTAACGTGTAGTCTTTAGCTGCTGTAACAGGATTAAATGCAGGGCTCCAATCTTCAATGCAGATCTCGTACCCTTCACTCCCAACAACGACCCTTTGGGCGTACAGAAAAGGGGCCATGACAGTTAGGGAAATCACCCATACAACACCGAGAATGAATCTGGCCGCGAAGAACGAAGGGCGCCTCTTGAATGGGAAAATGATGGCCCAAAAACGATCAAACGTGATTGCTAACAGTGTCAGGATCGAGCTGGCTACGGAAACACTTTGAAAAAAGACAACAAGCTTGCAAATCACAGCGCCAAAGATCCACCTGTATCCTAGATACAACTGTGTTATCATGTTCGGCATGGCCAGAATGGTGATTAACAAGTCGCTTGCAGCCAAGTTTCCAATGAAAAGATTGGTGACGCTTCTCATGCTGTTGTTTCGCCAAACAGTGAATATGACGATCGAGTTGCCAACAAGCGACAGTAGAATGATAAGGCAGTATGCAACAGTCTTGATGGTCTGTGTCACGATTGTTTCTTGGTACATCGGACAAGCGAGATAATCGGTTGTCATGTTCGAAGTGGAGTTGACATTATCAGCCGCCTCCATCTTGTATCGCTGACTACTATGTTCAAATTATTTTGCGGAAATCCGTAGATGCTAGTCTTCTTTATTTGCCGGTCACCGGAGGGCCGTAGTCTTCGCCAGCGGCTGTCGTGTCCTTTAATTTCTCGTCAGCAATTCCTCTAAGGAAAGGATAAAAAAGAATTTTAGTTTCAACTTACTTCGTTGATCGCATGCAAATCTCCTGCTTTGTCAGCGTTGGCCCAAAAGAAACAGCATTACGTCGACGGTATTAACACAGGTTGTAAAATTGTCTTAATAAAGGTTCGTGCCAGATCATTTGTGTACGCTGTAACTACAGAAGTGGGTGTTTTCTTAAACTGAAAATTTAATTATGCCACGAATAGCATGCGGCCCATATTAAAAAATCATTTTAGCACGTTGGCCGTGGTCAAATGACTATGGCAATAGATAATTGCGGTGGCTTTTTGAGCTTAAGTTAACCCTTCTATGTTTACTTAAGTTGTCTCAGTACAACATAATAACTACTTTGAACTATATTCTTTTGCTTAATCTGAAAAACGTTGATCCGACTTTATAATATCAACGCATTCATAATTTAGTTTAATTTCTCAAGCATAATTTTTCAAAATTTATGGTAGCATCCAAAACATTTGACAGTGTTTCATTTTGTCTCAGTAAGTTCTGCTTATACCTGCTCTAGACAATGTTAAGACAAATTTTATTTCTTTTTCTTTCTTTCTTCCGTAGATGATGAGCAGCATTTAGAACTGTGGGAAATACCGCGATTTACAATGCCAAGATAATTAATTAAACTTGAAGCGTGTTCGTAAATGCCGCCCGGCCCTTATCGCCTGGAACACAGTTTATCCGCCAAAAAGCCTTACCGTCTGATCGATCATCATTGCAACTTAGAAAGTAAGCTAGACAAATACTGACACTGTTTTTAATTACAAACGCAGCTGGGACGAAAATCATCCTCTTTTGCAAACCAAAATAAATCAAGCCTATGATCAAGTAAAGCTTGCTTTCCCACTGAAAACGAAAGTAAATTTGCCGGCGGATTTACTGTATTTGCATTTTAATTTTGCTATGCAGTCGCCAGCAACACGCTTTTCGTTTCGGCCATAACTTCATGAGCTTCTTAGCAGGCTAAGAGCTTATAATTTAACCCTCAAATGAAGCCTTACTAAACTTACTATACTACTTACAATCATCTTCGAACGCCTCGTCACGTTTGGATTTGTAACCATTACAGACCAATATCATCATATACCCTCTGATCAATCGTTTTTTGAGTATAAGCGGAAACTTGACAGCACGAAAGATCTGAATAGATCTGAATCTCAGACATAACGAGAGAAAGCGCTCATGCTGTGAAGGTAATTTGTGATTCAGGTGGGAAAAGTCGTTTTCAGCCGCTCTCTCGAAGAAAAAAGTGACTCTTATTAACAATGAAAGCGTGAATGGTTTGGCTTCTGTTTGGCTCACTGTAGGACATTTTTCTTAGAAGCAAATTGTTTTTCACACAAACAAACTGGTTCAGCTGAATTCGTTTGCAAAAACGAGAATCGTTTTGTACTAATGAAAGCAAACACATAAGAGACTGCTTAATTGCGGAATCACTGTTAAAATGACCTAGTATTAATTATCAGAAAAGCACATTTCTTTCAAGATACGTCCTCATGTTACTAAAATTATTGTATGCCATTAGAATATCTTAATCTTTATAGATCCAGTGGCAATATATTAAGAACTGCAAAGGCTGACTTGACGCTGAACACCAGCAACCGGGCCGGAAAGAAATCGTAGTGGGAAGATATCAAAAAATCAAAAGCCTTAACTTCGTCCTTAAGTCCGAGAAATTAATACTGTTCGCTTAACATTAAATTGTTCGCTACCAATGAACATCAGTATTGGCACATTTGTGACAGTCTCTCTAGGGAGAAGTTTAAAGCTGTCTGAGTTTGGAAACTGACAAAATAAAATCTCCCTTAATGCAAAACAACACCAGTGAAGTATTGATTTCTAAAAAGTGACTTTGGTTGAGCAATGCATGCGATTAACAAACACGAATAATTATTATTTATTCTTGTCCAGTGTCCTTTATTATCTTCGGTCAGCTTTCCGTTTTATTTATAAATCGCGCACCTTGCCAGACGACTAGAAAAATTTCTCCAATCTTTCGGCCATTCTGTTTAAATTATTAAGAGAATTCAGCTTAGCTGATAGTAATTTACCAACCCATAGCTTCAGTATTTCTTTCCGTCTTTAATCTCCCTTTCATTGTTACTTATTATTCCGAAAAACATAAAAGCGTGACCTTAGCTCTCGAAAAATGGACAAAAACAAACATCAGATTTGAACCACAATGGAAATACTTAGAAATATTATTAAGCAGTAAAAGCTAGAAAAAGCACGAGCATTACAACTGTGCAGTAAATTTGTTGTTTTTGTTTTTTGCTATTTTTATAACAATATATGCTTTTAGCACACAGTTATTATTTAACATTTATGCCTCCATACTCAAGTTGTGTTTGCATAGACCAAAGTCAGTGTTTTAAAGTGTTTATTTCATTTCTTAGGTGCGAAAGAGCTGAGTACACGTATAATATAATTTGCATCAAGAATTTACATTATGAACTGAAAACGAGGGTTTCTACAACATATTTGCATATTCTGCAGCAACAAAACGAGCTAAACGAGATTCTTTTCAAGGTCTTATTGCAGAAACTGGTCAGTTTAAAAATGCAATTTTACATATAAACATCAATATGAACAATCGTTAACCTAAACAGAATTGACCAAATATCAAGATTTCCAGCTGCTCGGGAGCTGATTACAGACTAAGAAGAGTTTTCTCTTCAACTGATGATAGCTTTGAGCTTTTAGACATCGTTCGTATGTTCAAAGCCATTCGAATTGTTTTACTGTGACCTTTGCCTATCTCTCTTATCTACTATGCTCGATAATAATAAAAATTCAAACCCTTTGAACACGTCACGTTGAGTCACGACATGAAAGGAAAGTTTAGGGGGACTGAAAAAGTCCTTCAATTGTTTTGACTTGAGAACGCGCTGAGAAGTGAAATTACAACTTATGCTCTACTTTTTTCTTTACTGTGAGAGCTTCTCTGCATCTTCTATTGTTTTGTA